TACTCTTCACCCCAGTAGGTTCCCTGTCTTAGCAAGTTCATTCTCAGCATGATCTTTTTGACAAATAAAGATGGGTGAAAATTTCATCTGGTTATTTTTTTTCCTGAGAATGTCTCAAAATTTGAAATTCTTTCATAAATGGGATAAAAACCATTTGAAAACAAAAGTTTAACATAAGATAAAACAAATTGAAAAATGAATAATGGACTGGATGAAGACCAAGAAATGGAAACATAGTTTGAATGAGATCCTAGGATTAAATTGTCCATCTGTGCAGCTGAGTAGCATTCAAGCTGTTTTAGAATGAGCTAAAGCTAAACAGGAGGAGTGGGCAATTTCCCTGAACTGGGGATAATCTTGTTCGAACAAGCTACAGGCCATGGTATCCCTGGAAGAACTATTACTGAAGTTTTGGCTTCTTTGTGTTTTGGGGAGGGCATTTGAGTGTGGGACTGGGAGTGGGATGCCTTTGGAAGGCAAACCACTCCCATTTCTACCCAGAATCCCAAATCCTGAAGATCACTCTGAAATCATCTGCCAAAATTAGGTAGGAAAAAAATGTCTGCATTTTGGCAGCATAGGTTTGGACCATTGTTGGGAGTAATGGGGAGGTTTTACTAGTGGGAATGGGAACAATTTAGTTCCTATAAACTGTGACTCCTACTCCCAATGTAACATTTGAAATACTGTAAATAAATAAATGAATAAAAAATAGATTCCTAATAAATTATGCTACTAGAATTCAGCCATTTTGCTGCCACGTTTTGCCTGTGAAATCTCAGTATACTGGGAGCATGTATATAGGATATTGTGGGCCCTTTGTGTGTGTGTGTGGGGGGAGGGGGGACAGCTTTTGCCACTTAGGCTGGTATACAGCTACAGCTTTACTCAGTGCCATCCATTCCCTGGTAACTTCTCATCTAGATTGTGGTAAGTGAGACTGTCCTTGAAGATGCTACATACTTGTCAGTTTGTGCCAAATTTGGCAGCAAGGTAGCAACTGGAATTGGACATTATGACCATATGATGCCAGTTTCATGTGAACTTGATTAGCTTCTGATTCATTTCTGGTTTGAGACCAAGGTGATGGTCTTGTTAAAGTCACTGAAAAATGAAATTCTCAGAATCTAAAATGGGAATATTTTTAATTAAAAAAGAAAAAAAAGCATTATAAGATGAAAATGAATAATATGATGGGGTAAACCTGAATCCTAAGTAGTTAATAAATTCTCAGCCTTTCAATTAATTTACAAATGATATGGATGTCATTTGCAGAGATGTAGTCATGTGACTGCCCTAACATCTATATTCCTTGTGATACTCTCCACCTACCTGTCAGCATTTCACATGATAAAGATGCAGTGTGAAATCAGCAATCAGTCATTTACATCTTAGCAGGCACAAGAAAATATCCTGTCCATTTTGAATTACTTGTCCTTCAGATTAATGCTAGCCTACCATTGGTTATCTTAGAAGGTATAAATTATAGGACAGGAATTCCTTCACAAAATCATCATTTATCTTTATGGCTTCAGATAAAGGCCAGCAGATTAACAAACCAATTCTATGTTTACTCAAAAGTAAATTCTACTTACTGCAGCAGAACTTAGTAAATATCCACAGAATTGCAGAATCTATTTTCAGTTTTCTCATATGGTTTAGAAGATCAAAGCTATTTTAGACCAGGACAGATTAACTGTTTAAGTAGCCCAGGGGCACCTATTCTGTCTGGAAGTGGCTCTTTGGGGACTCAAGTAGAATTTTTTAATGTAACCAGTTGGTTAAAACTTCTAACTGGAAATATCAGAAACTGAACCCAGGGCTTTCAGCACACAGATTTGGTTCCTTCCCTAGGCAGATTAAACTTTTAGCTAAATTTACATGACGTGGTAAGTCTTGATTTATCTGAATATGGTTTTCTGAACAAACCAAGTGGCATTATTCATACATATTGCTAAGCTGCAAACCATTGTTTAATATCACTATGTTTAGATTGTTATATCCTGCCAGAGAAAACAAAAGAGATACAATAAGTTAATAAGCTCAGATCTGAATGACATATCACACCAAGCCACAGTTTTTTGAAAAAGCTACACACCTTAACCCATGAACCATTATTTACAAAAGACAACGGTTCCATTCATCAAAATGTTCTAAGCGAAAAACAAACCATTGTTTGGCTTAGTGCAATCTATATGCCTTCATGTAAAGGTCAAGAATGCATGTGACAGTTTATAACCAAATGCATCAATTAATGAAGTCATGGGTTATGCAAGTATGATCAAATTGCTTCACGCCAGTTATTATCCAGAAGTTACTATCACATTAGAGCAATTGCTATAGCATTACAGTGTGAAAGAGAGAGAAATACTTGCATCATTGTCACAAATGTATTGCCAACTAAATATGTGTAGGAAGACCATAGGGAAATATGAGTGCATTAACTCTCCATTTGTTTCCCTTGCAACAAATATTAAGCAGCAACTTGCTTCCGATGCTGCAGGCAATATCATTGTTCGTATTCATAATTCTCTATGAATTACTCAATTCTGTGATGACCCAACTTTTCATGAAGGCTTATTTTGGGAAGATAATTGTGCAAAGTTTGCTCTGCCTATCACATGTGAAGTCCCTCCTTCTCTCCAAAATCTTCTGCCCACAGATAATTGCCAGATTGGTCTAGTAGACAGTGCAGACCAACACAGGAAGATGGTGAGTACTATCCTGGCTTGCTAATGCATAAGAGGGCTGAAGGAGAGAGAAAGAATGAAAACTAGACATTCTTTCCCCAACTTGGAACTATTTAGCAGGAAAAATAAAAATAAAATAGGGCCTTATTATACATTTCTCATCCAACTCCCCAAGATGCTAAAAATAAATAATAATCTGATCTGTGGAGAACAGTGGCCAGTTTTAATAGGGGTAGAAGTGGTGAGGTGGGTATGTTGGTTATTTTTCCGTCTCCCTGCAGGATCAGGTATATCAGTTTCATTAAGGTGATGGAGTAGATACATTCTGCCTGGTGAAGCAGACAATCTAACTATCCTGTAGGGAATGGATGGGCACTTTTAATGTTGCAGAACCTGTTCCATATGAGAAATGGAGTGGGTTCTTCCTGGGGAAACAATATTGGGCAGAACCATGCACTCGCACCTGTGCATCAGCTGGGTCATATCCAGATTTTACAGATGGCATAGCTGTCTGTCTAAATTTGTCTCTTCCCTTCAGGACAAAGAGTGATAGTTATTTTCTTACTGGTAGGTGGTGCTAGGGAACTCTACCAGTCATTTTCCTTAAGCTGTCCTGCATTAAAAGTGTGAAGACAGCATTAGCCACTGGCCTTATTGCTGAGGAAGACTCAGGAATAATGGCAGTGCAAGTACCAGCTTACAGACTGGAGGAAAGCACATCAGTTTATGAGGAAGAACCCATAGGTTAAAAATAAGTGTGTAAGTTAAATATGTTACCAATAACTATAAAATATCAAAATTCACTTAAAAGAAAAGATGAAATAAGATGGAATTCTTCATTATAAGAGCTAGTAGTTTTCCAAAATTCTGCTCCCATTTCCAAACTTGAATTCTTACCTTGAACAATCAAATAAACTTGAGAAGTCTTGGGATGGTGCAGTGTTTGGACTGAGCATGTATATGACCCTTCATCATAGATATCCACTTTCTGGATCCGGAGGCTGTATTCCAGAAGGGAAAGCTGCTGGAGCTCTACTCGGGGGTCCAGAGACCACTTGTCCTGACCAGCAAAAATGATGCCAGAACGATTTAACCAGGCCACCTTGGAGCTTTTGTCTTCTATAAAACACCTGTATGAGATGACAGAACGAAATACTGGTTTCTAAGAAGTCCGTGCATTTGGAATTTAAAACAAGCATGAAAACTTTTCCTATGGTCCCATCACACTGATAATGCATGTATTGTAATGGCACATCTCTAGAGGACATTTTAATTTTCCAGAGTACTTTCCAACCGTTCCTATATTTCCCTTCTTAATAATCCATAATCAGTAAAATTGCAACTATTCTTATCTGTTGATCTAGCCATAGAACTAGGATTACAATTGTAGTATGTGCCAAATGAGCAATATTGACCTAGGAATCACAGCTGAATCTGTTTGTAATGGTCAGTTCCCAAACTAATAAGAATTAAGAAGATGGTTTTATAAGCAGTCATTGGCGAGCTCCTTTGTTATCACTGAAGAGGCCTACCAGTTTATGGCTTAACAGAAAAAAAGTAAAAAAAAAAAAAAAAATGAGGAAGACTACCCCAATTATATGTTAGTGAGAATACAGAACACAAAACATTCCAAGTACTATGCCAGTTTGAGGAAGGAAAGATTAAGGCTATGAGCTGTATTTTCTGTTACATTACACATTGCCTTTCTAGCACTGTTTTGTGCCATACCTTTTGGCATTAAAATGGTGTGCTATTGCTTATTTACCCCCAACGGGCTGTATCAGATAGCTTTCAGCTACTGAAAAGTAGATACTGCTTGTCCCTTAGCCAACCTCAGTTCAACATCTCATGCCTTTCTTGATCAAAAAGATGAGAAACCTGTTCAGAGTGTACAGATTCTTACTGCTTTCTTATCTGCTTATACCACCATGTAATACATAAATAGGACAGTGATACAAAAATGCAGTACAATTTACCACTTTCACATGGCATGTTATTGTCGATACTAAGAGGATATTAATAGGCAGAGAAATGAACAGAGAGCCTTTGCAAGCACCATAACTCACTTAATCCTTAGATATGAAAGCATAAAGAAGCTCTTACAAGTTTGGGAGCTCCAACAGTATCTCATGGATGAAACCAGCCAGTAAGGGTTCTGGAGTAACATGGCTTCATCAGATTTGGAAGGAATATATAATTGTTTACATGAGACAACATGAGAGGGACAGCTGTTTGGCTGACATTGGTGAACTTAAAAAGAACTTGATTTATTTTGATTCCATGATTAAATACATTTTGGTTACTGTCTATATGGAAAAAACTTCTATATACAAACTACACAATGCAATTTAGAGTGCTCCTAAGTATAAATAAGTAAAATGATATATTTTGGTACATGTTGTAGTTTTCCATTGTTCATTAATTAGAAAATTGGCACTGTCCTCCTTACAATAAAACCAACAAAATCCTGATGGATACTCCAGCCCAAATCAGCTGCTAGTGGAAGTGAATACATTAGGACTAGCAGAATAACATGTATTTCCATGTTGTTTTCCCTTCTTCAGTATACATTTTAATTATTTGTTGTGAAGCAGACACTGAAAAATAAAATAACATGAAATAATGATAATTACAGTTTTCTGCGTTATCCATTAATACACTGCCATTGTGGCAACTCCTTTAACTTTCTAACTTTTATTTAGCACCAGCTGTGTAGAGGCAGTGTACAGAAATAATCTGCATCCTTCCCAGAAGACTAACAATCAACACTACAAGATATGAAAGGCAAAGATCTTAGCATTGCATTGCAATTGTATGAAAGTACTCCATGCAATTTGGACAAAGCATATGATATCCCTAATGGCCTATGGATAATGCTGGCCTTGATTGGAGTGATATTTGGGCTTAGTTTGAGCAAATATGAAATTATCACCACCAGAATCTATAAATGATGTGCATATCATTTGCAAAGAATCCTTAAACTAGAGAAAAGAAGGACTGTACCAACTCTCTTTCTTATTTCTATGAATCTTTCATTCTTTGCTAACCATCTTAGTTACAGAGAACATTTCTCTGAGTCAATGGAACCACATTAATGTTATTAGGTTACATAACTTGAAAACATCATGCCTGTCAATTGTGGTTGTTTTTAACTGATTCCTTTTTTCTGCCAGAAACGGAAGCACTAATAATGAAGCTAAAGCTTAGACGTTTTGGACACATATTGTGAAGGCAAGAGCCAATCTGAGAAGACCCTGATGCTTTGAAAAATGAAGGTAGTAGAAAAAAAAAACACGACAGAAGATGATGGCTAGATTCTGTCACCAATGAGCTCACAAGAAACTCAAAGATACAGTTTCTTACAAACAAAATAAAGTTACCAAGTCATACGAAGTTGGAAAACACTGTATCTTTCTTTATTGCTATACAAAAAATCCAAGTTACATGAACCTTGGCCAGTCCCTCTGGTTACCCATAGTACTGTCACTATTTCCCATAATTTCCCATAGTTGATTGTGGCTACTGTTGTTTGTGTTCCTGACAAATTTTCAACCTTTCAATCTTTTGCTACCTTTACTAGCTTTCCACAGTTAACGGCTCTTCCTGTTGTAATAAAAGGCTTATCTGTGGGCTTCAGTCATGAAATGGAGACTAACATAAATTTGAATATCTTCCTACTTTTTTTTAGTAGGAATAGCAGCAATGATTGGTAGTAGTAGAGGCTTTAGACTTAAAGAATCTGGATAGTCTTGGACTGTAAACATCAATTGCTCCTAGAAAACAGAAAATAAGAACATAGGAACAGCTGTACATGATCAGACCAAAGTCTATCTACTCCATCATATTTTTCCCAATTACCATCCAGCCATTCACAGGTCATGGTTTCAATAGCATCCTTTTTGTTTTGTCAGAGTATTATTTCTGAAGATAGAGGCAATAAAGAGCCATTTAGACACATAATCCTCAATTGCCTTATCCTTCATAAGTTTATCTTATCCCTCTCCACTGTGATGGCCTTCTGACAGAATTGTCTCCAAATTCCTAGCTATCACAATGCACCTTGCAGTCCCAACATTTCTGAAGGCATCTGGTTTGGGAAGTCTGGTTTATAATACCCTTTTAAAAACATTAGATAGCAGCCTTTATGATACCTGGTGATAGCAAATATATTTTGTGATACTCCAATCCTGCCCTTTGCTTGATAAATAGCTCTCTGTTTCAGTGCTCATGGATGTTTCTGCAATGCTTAAGAGTGAATCCTTGTGTATCTGCATTCTGGAACTACACCAATATGAGAGCCTGAGCACAGATCCTGCAACAGTTTTGCCTCCTACATGATGGGTAAAATAAGTAGGCCATCTCTCAAGAAAGCTTGGTCTTACTAGGGTTCTTTGAGGGCTGTTCAAAGGCTAGAGAAAATAAAAAGCAAAATCTTCTAATCATATTTTTGCTTGCTGTACATGTTTAATGCTTCCATTTCTATGACTGAGCCTTTATCATCTGGAAGAGGGGAAAATTGGTCACTTTTCTGTCCTCCCCTCCCCACTCCCAAAGGCAGATTAAAGTAAAGAGACGTTAACATCCATGCCCATTACTTTTAATTTTTTGTTCCCTATACCTGGTAGTTCAAAATATAGTTCAAAAAATAGCTTCCAATATTTCTAATTATCAACACAATAAAAAGCAACATCTCACTTGCACTGTATTTCTCATCTTGTATTACTAAATAAAAACCTCTAATCCCCAAGGCTGTTGTTCCCCCACCTTTTGTCATCTCTGTTCACACCAGTGAATTTTGAGAGAGAAAGATAAAGATTGGAGCCTAAAGATAAGAAAACTCTTTGGCGGCAGATGGTTTCTTGGGGGGGAAGTCAGACATTTACAGTGTTTCATAGACTGAATGTAGGTGTGATCTATCTGCTGAGATCACAGATTTCTGCTTTGCTAAATCATGCTCAAACTTTAATATGTTGTCTTCTTTGGCAAATAAGTTTGCATTTCCTTCCTTTTGTTATCCAATGCAGTTATTTCTGGATAGAATGTTTTGAAAGAATTTAAGGTGGCTGTGTGTCCAACTTAAGAGAGGACTATCCTCTGTTTCAACAGCTGTTGAAATATGCTCATCTATTTGAATATATTCTCTATCTGGAGAACTATGCAATCATGCAGCCCAGTTTAAATCTCAAAATGTTGTCAGTTAAGTGGAAGAACTCTTGTACTGAAGAATAAGCAGGCACACAGATCAGATTCCCTGGTCAGTATTTCCAGCTCTAGTGATCTATATTGAGATTCATAATTTAGCATATAAAGTTTATCTTCCATCCTCCCTTTGCTAGTGCGTCCCCTCCCCCCTTGGGGATAAAATATGAGTATCTTTTTTATAAGTATCTTTCTGACAAACAATCAAGCATAAAACAATACCCTAATCAAGAAATACCAAGGAGAAAACCACACCTCCTCCAATATTGGCAGGGGAAGCTACTGTAAGGAGCAAACCACACACACACTAGCACTGATGATGTTACCTAGTCAGGTAATGGAACATCTGCAATCAAATAACCAAGCTGAGAAAGCACCATGGACTCCATATAAGTATCTATTCTAATGAATGATGGAAGGTTACTAGGAATAATATCAAGAATAAGCAACTTGTGGCACTTATGTTATAGTTTTATGTGCAGTTCTCTGCCTAATTTCAAACCCTTATGGATAAGGTCAGATGTCTAGTCCAAAGTATTTCTTCTTTCCTTCTCTGTGATATATATATATATAAAAAAAAAAAGAGGTGCCAGGAAGAGAGAGAATGGGGATCCTACCCTTTTCCATTGTTTCCTTACCCCTTCTCCCCACCCCGTAACATATTATTCAAACAGCAACTTTAGATATTCAATATTGTCTTTCTCCATGCAATATAATTTTCCCATGAAACATTAATCTTGCATGGGATAAAAGACAGCCAGCTTGATCTAGTGATTAAGGCACCAGGCTACAAAGTTTGATCTAGTGATTAAGGCACCAGGCTAGAAAGCAGGAAACTGTGAGTTCTAGTCCCGCCTTAGGCATGAAAGCCGGCTGGGTGACTTTGGGCTGGTCACTCTCCCTTAGCC